GCGGGGGGGGGAGGGGAGGGGAAGGGCTCTGCCCTGTTACGTTTTTTCTCAGCTTTTGCCAACAAATAATTTGGTTGGGCTTTCTCGGTTTTTGTTGAAAGCAAAGCCTTAGCAACGTAGTCACTTAGGATCCTTCACTTTCTTGGCAGTTTAAGAAACCGCTACCTAAATTCATCTGTGATACTTGTTCTTCCATTTGAAAGTTCATATGGCCGGGTGTGGTGGCGCACGCCTGTAATTCCAGCACTCCCGGGAGCTGAGGCAGGAAGATCGTTGCGAGTTCCAGACCAGCCTGGGCTACAAAGTGAGCTCAAGGCCAGCCTGAACTGCATAGCGAGACCCTGTTGCAAAAAGGAAAACAAAAAAGTTCATATGGCAATATGTACAGCATTTTAAATAAAAGCGTTTATTGTTAGACTTGGGTATTGTTGTCAGACGTTGGACAGGTGAGGTAAACGATTTAAGTCGTACTGGGAAATGTCCTAGAGTACCCGGCTGCAGAAGGAGACCTGGCTGTCCTTCAAGTCACAGTCGCTGTCAGAAAGTGTGGAGGAATACGAATTGTTGACAAGCAAGTGTTGCCCTGCCCTAGCTCGTCCTGGGCAAGCCCAGGTGTTGCCCCTGCCACAGCATTGGGAGGAGGGCCCCAGGGTGCCCTGGCCAGAGTGTGCCCCTCCCCAGCATAACAGTCTCAGGGGTCTGGGCGTGGTGGCCGCCCCTGCCAGGTGAGGACCAGTGTCAGGGGGGTCGGAAGCAGCAAGGAGCCCACCTGGTCCTTCATCCTAAACCTCAGCCTCCCAGATGGCAGCGAGATTTCTCTTCATAACTTACCCAGCCTGAGGAATTCTGCTACAGCACAGAACAGACCACCAACACTGCATCCTCTGAAGACCCCTGCCGCACAAGTGAAGGAGGAGCCCTGAGGGTGAGGGGCGCAGCTTTGGGCCGGTCCAGTCACCCACGACTGAAAAGGACTGGCAGGCTGACTGAGCTCCAAATCCTAACCCTTCCTGGGCCGTGTCCCTCATCCTGACCGCAACCCCACCAGCCCCCGACTCCATCCCGGTCCCCAGCTGCTGAGGCCTCCCGGCAAACCAGCTCACCGAGAAACCATACAGGGGGTTAGTGAGAAAGGCCTGCAGAGTTACAACTGGACCCACGGCAGGAACATAAAGCTAACACCAGAAGGGTATCAGAGCTGACCAACACTAGTGAGAGTGACATCAGTGTCTTATCATTATGGACCAAGAGTGAAGTTCACAACTTTTTAGGATTTTTTTCAGTACTAGGGATTGAACCCAAGGCCTCATACTGAGCTTCGTCCCCAGCCCCACCCACCCACTCCCTTCTTTCCTGAAACAGGCTTGCTAAGTTACTTAATCGCCCAGGGCCGGGACAGTTCAGCCTCAGCCTCCCAGAGTGCTGGGATATAGGTGTACACTGCTGTGTCCAGTCGGAAGTTTGCTGTGACTCACATAAATAACAGTTCCATGGCTGAAATCCAAGTGATACGAAGAAGTTCCCAGGCCATCTCCTGAAACCTGATTCCCAGACAACCAGCTCTCCCCTCCAAAGGAGGCCAAAGGATTATCACTTCTCAGAAATCCTTCCAGAAACACTTTCTGCCTAAACAAGAAAATACAAACTTTGTAATTTAATCATCATTCTTGCAGCTAGGGGAGTGGGCTCTGGACAGAGCCTTAGAGTGCAGAGGCTGCTGTTCCCTGGGAAACACAGCTGCACGGCACAGCCCAGCCCAGCCCAAGTCAGTGATTCCAAGGAAGGTTCCAAGTGCAGGGCTGATCAGGAGCCATTCACATGAACATTTCTTTCCTTTTTGGTTCCACGCAGCCCTGTCTGTAAAAGGAAGTTGGAAAATGTGGGTGTGGAAGGCTGATCCCTAAAGTACAAGAATTAAAAAGGGATGAAAATAATCAAAATATGCTGTATGTATGTAGCAATGTGCCAGAACAACCAGTTATTCTGCATAAGAAATGTGCACTAATAAATTTTTAAGAGAAGAAAAAGAAGTAATGATGAGCTCGAGGCCCGTCTTGATGGGCCCCTGCAGTTGGACCAGTGGCTCTGCAGGCCTCCTGACTCCGGGAGGCCCTGGCATGGCACAGAGGTGAAAGGGCATCACAGACCTGGGCACCCCCTGACAGCTGGGTAGTGAGGTTCAGAACCCCCAGTGGCCAGAGCAGAGCCCTCAGGCTGTGAGGCTGAATCCCTCTTCATTCCTGAGCTCTCCAGAAAGGCATTTGAAGGGACAAAATGATGTAGAGAGGTAGAGTGCCTGCCCAGGATCTTTTGGGGTCCTGGGGGTGTGGGGCACCATGGCAGAGCTAAGGCAGCACCTGGAGCTCAGGGCCCTCCTCAGTGGGCAGCCCCAAGGACAGCCAGAAAGAGCCATGGAGGACATGGGTCGTCGGGCTGCGTACAAGAACATTCAACACAGTTTTCTCCTGACCTATTAAATCTGACTGGGATACAGCTGAGCTGCATGCTGGAAGATGATGCAAGAAGATAGGGAAGCTGGGTGTAATCCCAGCCAGGGAGACTGAGGCAGGAGGATTGCTGTGAGTTCAAGGCCAGCCTGGGCTACATAGTGAGTTTAAGGCCATCCTGAATTACAGAGCAAGACCCTGTCTCAAAAAAAAAAAACCAAAATATAAATGAATGTCGGGTGTCTAGGCACTGCTGACAGCCCTGTGTCCTGGGAGTGGCCTGTGAGGTGGAGCCCCATGCCCTGGCGGCTGAACTTGGAGATAACAGGTCTGCTCAGCATTGTCCCAACAGGCCTGGACAGGACATGAGCACAAGCCCCTCAAAGCCCATCCCTGTGACCAAAAGTGTGGACAACTCAACATCAACAGACAATAGACTACTCAAGGAGATAGTATTTAGTTGTAAAAACATGGACCTCTGAAGATATCTGTCTACACCATGGATAGTGTAGTAGATTGATAACCAGTGGTCAATTTCTAACACCCAGCTGAACTGAGTAAGCGTGGCGCTGGGTGTGGGAGGCCCACCTGAGGATTGTTGTCAGCGGGATAACAGGCAGAACTGGAGAAGTAGGAGGCTGCTGGGAGCTGGTAGAAGCTGTAAGGTGCTGTTGGTCCTTTTGGAGGAGCTCGTCATGCTGGCTTTCTTGATGAACTTGGATGTTTTCATCCTCTGAGGAGCTCGGGACCTTGTTGGCATTGAGAATGGCTTTGGCTCACTTTGGGGAGCTCTCGTCTTTGCTTTGAGCATCGCTTCCTGGCTCCGGGGGGGAAGATGGTGCACTGCTCAGTCTCCTGAAGAAGCTTGTCTCATTGGCTTTCCTGATGGGAACTCGGCTTTCCACATCATCAGAGGAGCTCGAGACCTCACTGTTGCTGAGGATGGCTGTGGGACTTTTTGGGGGAAGCTCTGGTTCTTTTTTTTTTTTTTTTCTGGGAATCGAACTCACGACCTTGCGCTTGCCAGGCAGGAGTTGTGCCGCTGAGCTAAATCCCCAGCCCCAGGAAGCTCTGGTTCTTATTTTGAGTGTTGCTTCCTGGCTCTACTGTAGATCCCTCAGCCTGCTAGCACAGATCCCTCATCCCACTGGCACAGACTTTCTAGATTCCACCACTGACCTCTGGGCCTTGCAGTGCAGATCCATAAGACAGGCCGCATGAGATATTGTATGGGCTCTAGGCCTCCAGCTGGACTCATGGGAGGCACTGTTATGGGCTCTAGGTCTTCAGCTGGACTCATGCAGGACATTATTGTGGGATCCAGGCCCTCAGCTGGTCAAGGTTCTTTAGTCTCTAGTGTGTGCACAGATTTCCTGAACTCTCTTGTATATGATTCTTTGGGTGACTATTATAAATAATCTTATAAAATGTGTCCTGTATTATATTGTTCTCTTTGCAAAACCCCAAAACTACAGCAGATGGAGCCATCATGCTAAGTGAGATGAGCTGTCACTAAGGGCCACAGGGTTTGTGACCCCAAGTATGTTATGTCTGGAGCGACAACAAGCAGATAGACATGGCCAGGACAGGAGGAGGGAGAAAGGAGAGTGGCTGGTGGTGGTTGTGTTGGGGACCACAAGTTGTAAGGAGTCTAGGGAACATCCACGCTTGTCCAGGCTGGAACGTGGAGTGGGACATGGTATACACTGCTATGTCCAGTTGGACGTTTGCTTTGAATCACGTAAGTAACAATTCCATGGTTGAAATCCAAGTGATATGAAGAAGTTCCCAGGGGATCTCCTGAAACCTGATTCCCGGACACCCAGCTCTTCCGGTCACAGCTGGAAGCCTAGGGCTGGTGAAGGCTGTGGCGTCAGCAGGGCAAGGTAAGACCTGCTGGAGACAATAAGGCATCTGGGGAAACCGCAGCTTCCTCCTTGCCTCCCTATCTCCTTGTCCTGGCAAGAACACTTTGTTCTTCTTCCTGGCCCACCGTAGTCCCCATCACTGTTGCCGGAAGCACCACCGCCCTTCACCTGTTGACCTTGACTGAGATGTAAGGAAAGGTTCTGGGCGCCTTGTGGCCTTTTGTTCCCAGATCCCTTCTTTCTTCCTGCTGTGCACCGGTAACACTTGGCAGGAGACTGGGGAGTCACTGCGGGGGTCCCCAAAAACTGGCGTTGCAGAAAGGGTCTCCGATAGTTGTGGGGTTAGGATGATGCAAATTATCTAAACTTAGTGGTGAGGATTGTGCAATCTGAGTATACCCAAAACCACTCACCTGTATACGTGTGTGTGTGTGTGTTATTGGGGATTTAACCTGGAGCCTTCACGTTGAGCTACATCCCCATCCCATTTTTAAAATTTTGAGATAGGGTCTTGCTAAGTCACTAAGTTGCCCAGGCTGGGATTGAATTTGAGATTCTCCTGCCTCAGCTCCCAAAGTGCTGGGATTACAGGCATATAGGTATATTTTAAGAGGGCAAGTTTTATGCCCTAAAATTCTACTTCAATATAGCTGTTATAAAATTGTGCACCAGAAAATTATACAGATGCTTAGGGGTGGACGAGGGAAGGTACTCCTAAGCCAGTGGTCACAGTGCCTACATAGCCACGGCACTGGTGCCACCAGGGGCTGGCATCTGGGTGTGCTGGAACTGTGCTCCAGCCTGGTCAAAGCACGGTTTCCAGGCAGTAAAACTGGAGCAGAACTGTCAACTCTGACAACCTAGCATACATTAGCGTCACTGAGTTCAGAAGATAAACCCAGCGGTCAGAGGGCACCACGGCAAGAAGCCCTGCGAGTATGCTGGAGAGCACCCATCAGAGAGGGGGCAGCAGACATACACAAACGCTGGAACTAACCCAGAGGTGGAGCGTTTCCCGCGGTCCTTCCCTAGCTACTGGCCCATCTTTGAGCAGCCAGAGTCTTTCTTCGGAACACAACACTTCAAGGATGCTAAGAACAAACCATATGCACACTGCATGTATTCGAGGGAATCCCTTCTTGTGTGTGTGTCACTCAGCCCTCAGCGCCGGGAGCCTCCCTGCCTTCGGAACCTGGTTCCCCCGAGGCCATGGGCTCTCCCTCACTAGGAAGGTGACAGCACAGCGGTGATGGGGAGCACACCGCAAGCTCCATCTCTGTCCTGGAACTGGGCCATCCTGGCTGTGAGCTCTAGTTTCATCTTCAAAAAAAACGGCACATGCAGTTTAGAGTGCATATTTTGAGAAATTCACTGGACACTTCACTGGTCTACATTCTTAAATCGAGGGACAGAGTATATAACAAAAGTTCCCCAAAGCTATTTCCTACAGTGACCAGAAGAATGATAAGGATTTACAATGCTGTCCCTTCTCAAAAACATACTACTTTACAGTCACTTTTTTTTTCCTTTGGTACTGGGAATCGAACTCAGGACCTTGCCTTTGCCAGGCAGGCTCCAAGCTATATCCCCAGCCCTCAGTCACTGTTGACAGGACAGCATTTACATTAGGAAATTATGATGTGGCAAGTTTTTGGAAGAATTATTGCATAATAAATGATTTAAGAAGTTTTGGCATTGTTATATTTAGGTTTTCATAAATAAAAAGCTTATGCTGGGCGTGTGGCGCACACCTGTAATCCCAGCACTCCAGAGGCTGAGGCAGGAGGATCCTTGTGAGTTCGAGACCAACCTGGGCTACAAAGTGAGCTCAAGGCAGCCTCAACTGCATAGCGAGACCCTGTCTCAAAAAGACAAATAAGTAAATAGATAAATAAATTAAATTAAATTAAATTAAATTAAATTAAATTAAAAGCTTAGCCTCTAGACTGAGAGGTGAAGCACCCTGCAAAACCATGGACAAGTGCAAGGGAATCTCATGCAAAACAAGATTACTTGGTACTGAACACTTGTTAGAAAAGCTAAGAAGGCAATGCAGGGAACAAAGCCTCTGGCATAGTGAGGTGGAGCCCTGCAGGGACAGAGGGCTGCAGGTGAAGTTTAGCTTCATTAGAGAAGGGCTGCAGTAGGAAGCGGGGCTCCTGCCACCCTGCAGCCCTGGGCACAGTGTAGCTCTTTGCTGTTCTCATGTCATTCAGACAGCAAGTAATGAACAGGGAGGGCTTCCTCCCACCTCAGCAGCTGTGCATGTTGTGTCATGTGTGTATCATGTTTTGCATGTATTTTGTATTACCTACATGTGTTGTATGATTGTGTAACTGTGCTGTGTATATCATGCATCATTTGTATTGTGTGCACTGTATAGTGTATTGTGAATTCTGTGTATATTGTGTAGTATTTGG